CTTGTGCCCCCCCAGCCTCCTCGCTGGTGGGGTGGGGTGAGGAGCAGAAAAGGCTTTGACTCTGTGTAAGCCCTGCTCAGCAGGAACGAAAACATCCCTGTGTTATCAACACTGTTTCCAGCACAAATCCAAAACATGGCCCCATACTAGCTACTGTGAAGAAAATTAACTCTATCCCAGCCAAAACCAGCACACATCTGCAGGTTTATTTAGGCTCATAGCTCCCCCACACTCCCATCGGTGCTCCTCGTCCCTTTGCAAAGCTGCTCAGCATTTTCTAGCCACAAAGTGGTATATGTGCCTTAGAAAATACCCCATACAGGTGTGTGTGTAAATAAATTCAAAGTCCTGGCAGCAACACCCAAGAGCATGGGAGAGCAGAATAATGTTTGCATGTATGTTTATTATTTTTTTATATTTTTTGTATTCCCAATGTTAGGCCTCAATCCTAGAGGTAAACATGCGGAAACTATTGTGGATGCTTACAAGTGCCTCATATTGATATATTAGGTATAAATTCTGGAGCCAAACAATAGACTGGTATAAATTCTGGAGCCATAAAATAGACTGGAGAATTAATCCACTGTTACAAGCTGGCTACTATAGGAAGACCTCCTGTAGGAACTTTTGGAAACCCCATATGCCATAATTGCCTGTGAGGGCAGATGCTCCTTCTGTCTGGTTGCTGGCTCAGACATGAACTGGAACATGCTGCCTGCTGAAAGTTGAACCAGTGATGAGTCTTTCATAATGCATAACTGTGTACTTTGGCAAAAAAAAAAATCAGCAAGAATTTTGTTGACGGTTGACTGTGACAATTGTGCATGTCCTAATAAGCTACAGGAAAGATGTGTTATAAACACAGAAAAGCTTTGCTGAGCGCTGTTAAAATTAGATAAAATTAACAAGGTAGCTAATGTGATTACTATTTTATTAATAAACATTTGAATAATGCTGTAAGTTTGCACAATGAGAGAGACATTGCCCTGAAGAGATTATGGTCTAAATAGTTCCTATTAATTATAATCTAAATAGATTAGCATTTATTATGCACAAAATTGGAAGATTGCTTTTGGTGTGATCTACGATTCTCATGGTTACTACCCATGTGAACAAAGTTACCAAGTGACGTTTTAATCTGCTTTTGCAACCTTTGCTTGTAAAATCTCTTTTTCTGACCAACCTGAAGAGAGTAAGATAATATTTTTTTTTTGTGAAGAGTTGTTCCACCTACCAGCCTTCTAAATACAGGGGTCTGATAAAAAGTTTAGACTTTGGTCAGTGGTTTTAATTCAAGCTTGAAGTCATTATTTCCAGAACCTCCTACCAGGAGGTACGAGCATGGTGAACGCGCTCCACTGCACTCGTATGGTGTCACCCTGGGGCTGCCAGTTCTGCTTCTCATGGTGACCTGCACGGTTCAGGAATAATGAGATGTTGCTAAAATACTTATTTTGCATGAGCAGGCAGCTTTTGGATATAAAGTGTACATATAATTTTAGACAGCATAGGGTTTTGGTTAGCCTCTAAAGGGAGGATTGTATGTAATCAAGAATAAGAACAGACTCAGATCCAAGAATGCTAGTTTTTAATAAATCTATCACACCACACAGCAAGTATCCTTTTTGCCTCTTGCATATACTGTCCCCTTTATTTCATAACACAAAGTTAAATAACTATTGGTTTTCAGACGGATTGCTCACGTATACTTTGTTCAAGTTTGGGAACCATATATTATTCTGCTAATGCTTATTGACCCTTAATACACTGGAACAGAGAGATGTTCCAGATTTATTACAATTGCTTGTACTTGAGCTATTTGTACCCTCCTCATGCCCTTGGTTTGCTGCTCTTCACAATTAATCTGTGACCCATTTCCCTAAGGAAAACAACTGAAAGATTTCATAGCATCTTATGACGTTGTTTTATGTTCTTTCAAAATATTGGAGTCAGCTAATGGTGAAAAATTTGAGGAAAAAAAATATGTAAAAGATAAACAAACTAAAGTTCCTTATCCAATTTTGCAGCTGCACTCATTTGATAAATGCTACCATACAGTCCGTAGTTTCAGCTGAAAATTGTCAAACCTCTTTAGAGAAGTTGCAGAAGCTTAGCTCCTTTAGGATCAGGCAGAGTTTGGTCTTGATGATTAGAGCAAATAAATAATATATTGATTTGCATAGTTCGTATTGTTGCCGGTAAATAATAACAATGGAAAACACTTATGTCAGGTATTCAGAGAAAGCAAAGTTGAAATGAAAATTTGTATGCATGCTTTTTTGCTCCTTGTAAAACCAATTTTCCCTTCCTGAAAGAAACACTTCAGGAGTTGCTTGGATTTTCTGTAGGCTCCGAGGCAACATGCAAGACCTGGGTTCAGTTCCTTGCCCTCCTGCGTAATTTTGGCCCGGTTGCCTTGCTGTCCCTTCCTCCCTTCCAGATAACGAATGAGGGATATGCAATGCCCTTTGGTGATAAGAAACAAGCTGAAGGAACGCATGGTTCTCCGTGACTGCGAGCGTGTTGGAGAAGCTAAAACTTTGGAGAGGACACGCATGGAGTCTTGTGTGCTCAGCCCCATGTAGTGCTGAGCTGCTGGGCATGATCCAACATTTAAACACATTCTTAACTGGAGCACAGGACTAATGCCATTGGTTCCAGTGAAGTTAAAAGCACGTGCCTGAGTAGTTGGCTGGATTGGGTCCAGCATTCAGTCTTTTGCTGGATGGAGCCCTAAATAAACAATCTAGTATCAGAGGAGAAAACATTTGCACATGTGGATGTGATTTGGCTGTTTCTGTGGCACTGGCTTGTTGTTTTCTAAGTTGTGCTGGCAATGGTTTGTCTACTTAAAATGCTAACAATTTCTTGCCTGTTGTGTTAAAATTGACTGCGCTTCTGGTGCACAGGCTAAAAAAGGATGGGTCTAAATCACTCACAGAGCCTGTGATGCTCAGTGCCGACAGATACAAGACACTGTACTCAGTTTGAATTCACTCTGCTTTCCTGTTCGTGCTCTTGCAAAGTGCCCAGAAATTTTCTGAGATACGAGTTAGTGGCAGTCATCATGTTTCCTTCAAAGGCTAACACTTCAAGCACATTTTTGCAGGGCAGAGCATTGTAAACAGAGATGTTGTTTATAATATTTATTGTCTCAATAAAAAATCTACAAATATATATATATTTCCAGTAGGAAAGTTGAAAAACCAAATACAGCCTTTTACTATATCTTCTATTTGTCGTGGTTTAACCTGGCAGGCAGCCAAATATCACGCAGCCACTCGCTCGCTCCCCCCGCCCG